AATTGCTGATTCCAAAGCCCACTTTTTTTTTTTAATATGTTAAGGCTATACCAAATTGTTATTAGGGAAAACTCCAAATCCATTCTGATAATCCCAGATCCCTATGGATATACATCAAGAAAAACATTCGATTTTAAGTTTATTGTGATTTTTTTAAAGGATGCATTATCTTATTGGCCCCGTTTTTATTCACATTTTGACTTCATTTCTGAGTATATATCTGAGTATACACTCAGTATAATAATATAATAACCTAAGTGGGAGACATGTTGTATCTGTTTAAAAAATAAAGAGACCTTTTTATTTGATGCATTGTCTGGATGGAATGTCTCTTGGAAATTATGAAACAGATATTCTGGAGAGAATTTTGGTAGCATTTATCAAAATTTAAATTGCACATATGTTTTGACCCAGCAATTCCACTTATAGCAATTAATTCAAGAGAAAATTGTACAAACACATAAAAGCCTGTTTACAAATAGCATTGTTTATGAAAATTAAGAAAGCAACTTTTTTATTTAAATCCAATTAGCCAACATATAGTACATTATTAGTTTCTGATGTAGTGTGCAACAATCCATCAGTTGCGTGTAACACCCAGTGCTCATTCTATCACGTGCCCCCCTTAATGCCCATCACTCAGTTACCTCATCCTCCCAACCCCCTCCCCAGCTTGTTTCCTAGAGTTAAGAGTCTCTCATGGTTTGTCTCCCTCTCTGATTTCTTCCCATTCAGCTTTCCCTCCCTTGCCCTATGATCCTCTGCACTGAGAAAGCAGCTTTTTCTACTGAAGTGTAGTTGACAATGTTACATTAGTTTCGGGTGTACAACATAGAGATTCAACTTCTCTGTACTTTATGCTGTGCTCACCACAAGTGTGGCCACCCCCTGTCACCCACCATACAACGCGATTACTATACCACTGACAATACCATTCCCTGTGCTGTACCTGTCATCCCCATGACTGATTCATTCCAGAGAAGCACGAGAAATCCACTTTTTAAAATTTTATTTACTAACATGTCGGTACATCCATATAATGGAATACTGTGCAGTCATAACAAAACATGAGCTGAACTGGAAAAATGTTGACTTTTTTTGGTGAATAAAGCAAGCTACAGAACAGCTCATACCACATATTTCCATTTGTGTAAAGCAAAGTGTGTGTGTGTGTGCGCGTGCGTGCGTGCGTGCACACGAATATATTCACCAAACTGTTTTCCGTGATGGCCTCTGAGGGGGCTTCCGCAGATTGGGGGAGCAGAGACAAATACTGACCTTCACCTTCGTCTCTCTTTGTGCCCTTCTGAGGGGTTCAAATTATTTACAGTTAGTATGTCTTACTTCTATAGTAATTATGTTCATTTAAAACAACTGAAAGAATAAAGATTTACCCTTAGCTATTTAATATCAGTCTTTTCAAAAATATGCTACTTTGAAATGTTTAAGAACTTCCTGAGTCAGAACGTATCTATTCTATAGTAGCAAGCTGAACTTTTAAGAAGCACTTATAGGATTTAAAGCCAGAGCAGATGTTGCTAATCTAACTTTGTTTTATCAACATTTTCAGCAATGTCTTCAATGATCAGAAATCAAGAAAAGAGGATACAGAAAGTGAAAGACCAGGAAAAAATGTTACTAAAATGATACATTGCTTGCCTCTTCTTTACAGAGGGATGAGGCCCAGTTAATTGTGGTGGTGCTTATAGTTAGTGCCCTGTGTACTTTTTTCCTTTTTATGTGAAAATTTAATAAAAGATACCCTGTCCTATAAACTCTATTTTGAAATAAACTATTCTTGAATGCTCTCACAGTAAAACTTTAAACCGTTCTAGCTAGATGTGAAAGAAATGCATATCTTATAAGGTATTAATTGGTGCTAAGACTAGTGTGCTGGAATAATTATGTGTTTTTTATTATCTTTACTGGTGCTTAAGCAATACTCTTTTCTGCTTTAAAAAACAAAAACTGCACATGCAAGTAAAATATGTGGTATAATGCCCAGAACAAAAGGACAAACTCCAACGTACTAACAGGGATTCCTTTTGTGACCCTGAACTCACTGTTCCATCTTTATCAATGAATGTCATCAGATAACAGAACATTGGGGCCCCTAATTAAAACTTTTGGAAAGGTTTCTCTATTACAGGTTAATAACTACAAAGAAAGAAAGGAAAAAAAAAATGTGTTCTTCAGCCAGTGGGTAACTTCTAGATTGAATGGATAAAGTCTGCCTTGATTAGATTTTCTTATATTAGGGGGTTTTTGTATGTGGAGTGTTTTCTAACACCAATAACCAATTCTCTGTGGACACCAGCTAGGTGTCCTAGGAGTCAATTAAATTCTAACACTAACTACCTGGCGTTATTATCAGAGTTTCCAGGTTTAAGGGTTTAGTCCCACAAGACTGCCCCCACTTCAGATGCAATTGCATATCCTGGGCTACCCATACTTCTAACTGACCGGCTATGAATTGGAGTTCCCCCCAACCCCTCCTCAGTGTCACTAACTTGCTCGAACAGATCACAGAACTCAGGAAAGTGCTTTACTTACTATTACCAATTTATTTTCAAGGAAACAGCTCAGGAATAGCCACATGTAAGAGATGCACAGGGCAAAGTAGGACATTGTGGTACATGAAGCTTTCATGCCTCTCAGGGCACATCACCCTCCCAGGACCTAGATGTGTTTGCCAACCTGGAAGCTCATCCAATCTTCTTCTGTAGAGCTTAATCTGCTGCCCCCCACTCCCCTTCTGAGATCAGTGGATGGGCCTGAAAGTTCTAACCCTCTAATCTGTCTTCCTGGTCTTCGTGCCGGAGACAACAGGACAATGTGGCAGGACAGCTGTCCAGAAAAGTCCATACTCCTGTTGCACAGTACAGATGCCACTGGTGCATGGCTGCCCTGCTCGAAGCTCTCTCCCAGCCCTGCCTCCCCCACACCTCCTGACCGGTCCTCACTGAAGACCTGCAGATGGAGCCATGTGTGGCACTTTCTGGCCAGACTAGTAAGCGTTTGTGTCCTTCCTCACGTAATTTCCTCTTCCGTGAGCCGGGTACAGTAGACAGTGAGGTCCTGGGGGTGGCAGAGCCCCAGCACAGAAGCAGCCTGGGAGACAGTCTGCAAGGAGAGCCGCCCTTGTGCCAGAAACAGCCACTGCGGGGATTTAGTGAGCATGGAACAGGCTTCTGGTGCAGCCTTCTCAACCATATGGTGTCTGTGAGAGCAGATGGCCTTAGGCCCAGCAGCGCTGATGGTCAGCGAAGTCCTCCGGTTTCTCCTCCAAATGGCAGCGTTACACTCTAAGCCTGTCGGTTTTGCAACACTCTTTTAAAATACAAAGTTTGATATTCTATGTATCTCTTACATCAGTTGGTTTTACTGAAAGATTAATTTTTATTTCATCAGGTAATGATAAGATTGCTAGTGAAAGAACTCTAAAGATACTTTTATTGTAAACTGTTTTACCTTTAATTTTACCAAATAGAAATGTTGGGCATTCTGTGAAGTAACAGTAAATGCCCTATGAAGACCTTACTGGTAGAATGTGAAATTCATTCTGAAGACTATAAAAAGTATATGTGAATTTAACATACAAGTGCTACATGAGCCAAAAACTGTCCTGTTCTTTTCAGCACTTCCTAATACCATTTTCCATTGGGTTTATGCTCTTCTCAGCAAAGACCACCTGTAACTAGGATTAAATGCCGTGTTTCGCCAAAAGATGTTATACTTATTACAAGTTGTTTTAACATAAAAATTCAAGTACAGGCATGCATAATGTCCTTCCAAACAAAGGCAAAGTTTGTTTTTTTAAATCTAAAATGTTTTCTCCAAAGAGAGGAGAAAAATGGACCCCTCTTGCCTCTGATGTTTGCTTTTTTTCTACGTGTCTGTTATTAGTGGAGGAAAATATTTTATTTTACATCTAAGCTATTATGGTACTAAGGTTTAGACAAGTAATTCAGACACTCAATAAAGACAGTAAAACTCAGATTTTATTTGTTCAGTTATAATAAAGTTTAAATATTTTATTTCTTCTCAGAACAAAGATGTACTTCTGTATCACTGTCCTGTTATAATTTTGTTACCCAAGATAGCTACTGGTCTGAAAGAAGGGGGCAGGAGAAATGACTGCTATGGACCAGTCCATCTGTCCGTCCAGACCCGTGAGAGAGGAGGGGCAAGGGGAGAGATGGTCCTACAAAGGCCCTAGACATAAATGACAGCTGTGTCCCCCCCTGCAGTCAGGCTGCACCTGGACCTCTCAGGCCTCTAGGAGCATCACGCAGGACACCTCACGCAGCCTACACCTTAATGGCATTCCTGTTCCCTCTCCTCGTGGCCTCCTCCCAATGACTGACTCTGACTAGGCCCCTTGTTTCTACACCAGTTTGCCATCATTAAGACAAAGACTTACTTGCTACCTTCAAACCACAGCTAGCAGGTAAAATCAATCAAAAAAAACCAAAAAACAAAAAACACTGGGAAGTCTTCACATCCTTGCTATTCATATTTGTGACCAGATATTTCTGATCACAGTTGCAAATGGCATTAATTATTTTTAAATATAAAGTGTGCATGTAGTAAGGAGAGAGTTTCTCCAGTTGTACCAATAGGAAAGCAGCTCTTTTCGAATGAGGATTGCTTCACTCCCTGGGCTTAAAGATCAGCCAGAGGCTCAAGCTTGAACCCTGTGCAGCTGGGTGGTTTGTATGTGTCCTGGCCAGTCCACACCTGAGGTGTGGCCAAGTCATGCCCCAAGAGGACCAAGCCCTGAAGTAATGATGGATCAGCAAAAATCCACCCATCAATGCCACAGGGGAAAAAAAGGCCACGCTCACTGAAAGCATTACCTACATATATATATATATACTTCTGCACATTAGACAAAAACCACTGGCAAATTTGAAACAACGCCGATGGCTAAATTTGGAGTTCTACTTCCTTTATTTAAAATTATTCAGTGTGCTCCACAAACTTAGCTTTTTCCAGATTCTGCAACAGCCTCTCTGGTACTTTGAAACACTGAATCAGTGAATCCCCCACCACTTCTGAACCATTTTATCCTCGTGGCCAGTGTCAAGGAACCTATTGTTGCATTCTTCCCAGCGGGTAATCTCCCCATTGTCTACCACTACAAACTTCCATTCCACCACTGTATCTGCGGGCAGGGGCACAGAACGAAACCAGAACCCATCCTTGCTACGCTGCAGTGCGATGTAGGCCTTCCACCTCCCAAGACTCTCGTGGTCTCCGGTTATTGCAACGAATTGCGTCCCAGTGCTTGTGATATAATGCACCTGGAACCGGACACTGACTCGCTGAGACCCTGAAGACACCGCCACTACCTTTTTTCGGCTCACATCCACTTCCTGACCTCTTGGTTCCATAATAGTGCTTCTGCCACAGTCCATTCCCTGGTTTGGGCTTGACACTGGAGCCTCAAGACTGCCACCCAAACCAGTATCTCCCCAAGATGAGTGCCTGGACACCGTTTCCCAGTCCTCATTGTCGGCCCGGTCCTGATTGTTCAACTGTGCAAGGCTCACTTCTTTGGCTCTGTCAATGACCAGGTTGCTAGAATACAACTTTTCTGCAAAACAGGAAGCTACTTTAGCAAGTGCCTCTTGTCCTTTCTGGAATCCCCATCCTGCTATAGGAGATTCAAGGCTTTCACTTCTTGAAACTTCAGAGTAACCCCAAGAGTTACCAGTCTCCGATGTAGCTAGAGATTCTGTGTCTGGAAACTGTCCAGAAGGAACATGCTCTCTTGAACTGTCACAATCACTGTCTTTTCCAGAAGGACTCTGCAGTCTCCATGCTGCATCCTGCAAGTTACCATGGCCTTTGGTCTCCGAAACCAAACATCCATTGCTTTCTTGAAGATGCTCTAAAAAACCAAAGGGAAAATGTCAATAGTGTTAGGCAGTTCTTGTGAGAAACAAGGCTGCGAAAATAGGTTTAGTTATTGAAGACTTTACCACTAATCTACCTGCAGCTCACAAAATCCATCTTGATTCAAAATAAGTACTTAATTACGGAGTTCAGACACTAACTGAACCAACAGTGTACTCTAAGAATATGCATGCATACCCAGCAATAAAAGGCACATCAGGGTGCCCACACAAGAGTGGAAATGAAGTGGCAAGTTGTGGAGGCAGCCTTGTAACCCTGTCCTGGTCCTCGATCTCCGCAGTCCAGGCCATGTTGGCATGCGGCCATGTTGTTCAGCTTCCATCATCAAAAAATGCTGTTCCACTGCAGGGCAAAGGTCCTCATGGCTACCCCACGGACCCTAAGAGTACACTTGTACTCCCAGGAACTGCATGCCGACCGGGGATCAGCTCTCACACATGTGGGCAGATATAAAGGACGGCAGCAAATCACTGGGTAAGAATTGGGACTGATGGTGGGGAGAGAGGGCTGGTTTCTCCTTCCCAACCCCATATGCAGCAGGAACCTCTTCAACAAAAGGTAGGCTTTTTACATCCCCTCCCATTTTACACTTAAAAAAAAAAATGTTCTTACAGTGCACAATCCAAGCTCCCTAAAGGGTCAGTTTCCTTCTTGGCCACCTTACCAACAGTCCGAATAGCTCCCTACAAGATCGAAATCTCCAAAGTCATACAGTCAGCACAGATGGGGGTTTTCTCTTGGGGTTGGGGGTTGGCCTTGTTTAATATATTACCTCTTTTTAATGGTGGAGTTGTGAGACATAAATATTACCCTGAATTCCCAGTCTTCCAACCTAAAACATGAGGCTGGCTTTCAGAAGAAGATAAATGAGCTCTTTGCTCATTTCAAACCAATCCCAAGAAAAGCACAGAAGCAGATTTTCAAATGGTTACACGTGAACACATACTCCACTAAAAATAAAGTTCCCAGATGTCATTTTCACCGTTCGGCTGGAGTCCAGGCATGGGCAGCTGGCCAAGGGAGGGCACTGGAAACTAAGGGTTTCTGCCAGTGCTCTTACTTTGGCTAGTACACAGTCGCTACCATGTACACACATAAACCTGGATGTCAATTCTACTCATCGGTGTCGGGTCCCCTAATACGTAGGTCCCTTCCCGGGGTATTAGACAACCCTGCGCTGTCGGGGGCCCACAGCTCTGAAATGGGTGGCCAGCATGCAGCCAGCCTTAAGGCTTCAGCTGAGGCCGTCATGACCAGAGTCCAACCTGAACTTTGCCTTCCTGACAGAAGCGTCCAGATAGCGGGAGGTGCTCACAGCCTGGGTGTTCCCAAACCGGGCTCTTCCAAGCGGTGAGGGATGGGAGGACGTGAGGCTATGGGATTGGGACTGAGAAAGTGCCCCTGCTCGGTCAGAGACTGAAGAGGGTTGTAGGATCCCCCTGAACCTAAGCACTCCTTTTGTAAGGCCCGGAAGGGGCGCCGCCGCTGCAGCCGCCCGCACTGCGCCAAGCTCTGCCAAGCGCAGGAGCCCATCCCCCGCCCTGGCCGGAGGGGCCAGACAGGTCCTCCTGGGCGGGCGCCGGGCGCAGAGACTCTGCTGGGCGCTGCCCTCGGAGGATGGGCCAGGGAACCTCCGCGGCCTCCGTGGAGGGCGAGAAACCTGCCCGGCGCGTGCGCACCGGGGAAAATGCGAGGCGTGGGGAAGGTCGTGCCCGGAGCAGGGGAGGCTAGTCCGCGGGGAGGGGCTGCGAGAAAAACTCCAGGTGGGTTTTTTTTCCTCTCTCGGTGAACTTCAAAGCTCCCTGGCAGATCTGCCCTCGAGACGTGGGAGGAAGAATACCTGGTTTGGTGACCAGCTCCCGCCTGGAAGGTCCAGGGCTCAGTCCCCCGGCGCCACCCTGATCGCCTCCCGGAGCCGCAGCGTCCCCAAGAGGGTCGTCCTTCTGCTCCGCGTCGCTCTCCGTCCCCGTGTCCCGCAGCAGCCACACGAAAATCGCTCCGGCCAGGCCCCCTCCGACCAGCAGGGCGGACCAGACGGCGCCCATGGCTGAGAGGCTGCAGCTGCGGGAGGCAACCGCGACCGGGACGGGGGCTCGGGTTACGCAGGCAGAGCCACACCTACCCCGCCCGCCCCAGCCTTCTACGGTCCCCGCGGCCGGCGCTCCTGCGCGGAGCCCAGCCCTCGGCGACTAATACTCAACTTTCCCAGCCCCGCCCCACTGCCCGCCCCGGGGCTGCCTCCCCAGGCTCCCGCCGGGCGGAGACTCGACCGCCTCCTTTTCCAGCATGTTCATTCCCGACCCCGCCCGTGGCTGGCGGGTGCGTGGGTGCTCCGTTCCCCGTGTGGCCCGCGCGCGGAGAGAGCCCAAGTGCGCCCCGCTGCCGCGCGCCAGCCGGGCCCTGCCCCGCCGCCCTTCCCTCTCGCTCCAGCTGCCCGTGAGGCCGGCTCCGGCTTCGGCCTGCGCGGGGCACCTCGGTGCCTCCTCCCCGTGGACTGTCAGCCGCGGCGCGGCCAGCCACGGACGGAGGCTTCCGGGAACTTAGACGCGGGAGAGGCCGACGTGCGTCGGGGAGGCGCGGGCTTGGGCTCTGGCTGGAGGGGTAGCGGGCCGGGTCGGGTGGGGCAGGCGGGGAGCACAGCGGACTGCGGGCGGGGAAAGCCCTTTCGGCCGCCAGTTAGCAGCGCGGAGCTTCCCCCCAGCCTCCGCCACCCCCTGGTAAAATGAAAGGATTGGCCTGAGACCCAGCCATCTATCCGTGCCAGTCATCTCAACCACATCCAGCCGTTGCTTCTTCCTCGACCTCTTGGCGGGGGGGGTTGCAAAACGCGTGCCCTCTTGTCTGGACTGGATGTTGCCCAAGGACAAGCTCCTACAGATGGGTTTATTAATGAAAACAGCAACCCTCTCTGTTAAGCGCTGTGTGCCAGGTAATGTGTTTCATTTGATCCTCACAAACCACCCACCATGGGAGCTAAGTGAGAATTAGACACACTGTCTTCTCAATTCACTCTTTTGATCTGATAGCTTTACACACCGGCTTCGAGCTGCTAATTCCCACGTTTGTGTCTGCAGCCGGAGCCTTTCGCTGGAAGCGCATTTCTACACCCAGCAGCTAAGGCCACAGCCGGCTAATACCGCCTGGGAATAACGAGTAAAATGGCTCCCTCTGGTAAAGCGAATCGTTCAAATGTGCCCCATGTTCAGGCACACAGCAGCCCCTGACCCGGTTCCTGGAGGGCTGGTGCGAGCCTCCCTCGGGTCACAACGCCTACGGTCCTAAGGGAGGGGGGAGGGGGACGGTGGGGGGGGCGGGACTGGGCCTCTCTACCTGGGCGCTAACAGATAGCTCAACCCCAGCTCCCTGGGGTCTAACTCTCTGTCTTCTCCCCAGGCCCGCTGCTTGCCCCGCCTCCCTCATCTCGGAGGAAGTGGCGACCACATCCTTCCCCAGGGCTAGAACACCAACAACTTGGAGTCGTCCTCCGCTCTCCTTTCTTCCCCTCTCCCAGTAGGCAGAAAGTAGCAAACTCACACTCTTTCTTCAAACTACTGTATGAAGAATTCTACTACTCTGCTGTGACACCCTGGTCTGCCACCAGCATCTCTCACTTGGATTACTGCCTTCACCTCCCTCTGCTCTCCCTGCTTCCACCCTGGAGACCCTACAGGATACTTTCCAAAGCAGCAGTCGGGATGATTGGTAAAACCTCCCCTGAGCCTCTGCCCAGGAACGTCCAATTGCTCTGTAGCTCATGACAAAAAGACCTTGTTAGTTCGAAGCTTCCTCAGGAGCTTCTCACGTGTGATCTGAAGCCGGCGCTAGTGTGGCTTGGAGACCCAGGCAAACCACTCCAGATTGGTAGGTGGCAATTTCAGTAAGCAGGGGAATTGGGGGCTTGTCTTGGGCCCCGAAAGATGAGTGGATGAGTCTGCAGACATGCATCCAGATAGCTATCCTTTCTCGCTCACCCTCTCCAGGTGTTTGCACAAGGCTCATCTACCCTGTGAGCCCTTCCCTGATAATCCCAATTTTAATTACAACCCCCTCCCCCCTATAACCTTCTTTGCTTTATTTTTCTCTGTAGCATTTAGGGCATCACTTTTTTTTTTTTTTTTTAAGATTTGATTTATTTATTTGAGAGGGAATGTGAGCCAGAGAGAGCACAAGCAGGGAGAGGGGCAGAGGGAGAAGCAGGCTCCCCGCTGAGCAGGGAGCCCAGTGTCGGACTGGATCGGATCATGACCTGAGCTGAAGGCAGACGCTTAACTGACTGAGCCACCCAGGCGCCCTAGGGCATCACTTCTAATACACTGTAAAATCCATGATTTGTTCTGGTTGATTTCTTTCTTTATCCTCAGATAAACTACCTGAAAGGAGGGTTTATTGTCCTTTGTCTTCTGCTAAATTCCTGGCACCTAGAGCATTCCCAGAGTGGTCCCTCAAAAAGTACAGGTTGAGTGAATGGATTAAAAGCTCCATGTATTCCCAGGCTAGAGCTTAATGCCATCTTCTTCATATAGGTTCTATTTGCATTTTTTAGCACAATGTAGATGCTACTTCTTTTCTGTCAAGTAGGTTTCATGTCTTAAACTAATTAGAATCAATGATGAACTTTTTAAAGACCTCTAAAATTTAAAAACCACCAGCAGCCACCCATTCATCTCAATCCAGGCAGCTTTAAGATAAAAAAATCTTGTGGTAAGTTGAAAATAATAAAAAGTGGTATCAAAGGTATATTTTTAAGAAAGTGAATGTCTTACTAATTCATTCGTAAGTCATAAGACTATTATAGATCTATTTTTAATAGAATTTTGTAGAAAATTTTAGAATTATTCTATCTTTTGTCAAAATAAAACTTGATGTCATAGGAAATGGGACAAGGACGTAGGACGTCCTTGAATTTTACAAATTCTAAAGCCAATAGAGTGGTTTTATGAATTGTATGAAAATTCTTGAACATTTTCTTTTTATTTCCTCACTGATAACTTTATGAGCTGCTCATTGGTCAAAGTTTCTTTATCAGCGTGCTCACAAATGAAATCCCAGAGGATCTGTAAAATCATAGAGAGCAAGCCCCACTATCCATTTCTAATAACTAGAAGGTTCTTAGTAAAGATTTACAGTTGTCATCAATTGCTATTTATTAAACATATAACCAATAAATGATGCAGTTCTTTCCGCCCATCATAATTCTTTTTACTTTGTATCAGCTTTCTCATGCAACATTTTAAAAGAACATTATTTGGCCTTCCTTTTGGCTTTTCTAAACTTAAATGTTGACTCATTGATCTCTGTGTTGCTCCTTTAAAAAGAAAAAAAAACAATACTCCACTCACTACCGTATTTCTTGGAAGTCTGTGGCTACATAATCTAAAAACATGCTTCCCGCACTAACGGTACCGTGTTTATCACTATACGGGTGCAAATAGCGTTGCCTTTATGTGGAAGTCTTTGAGCCTAGGGAGAAAGAAACAGAAAAGGAAAGCAGATTCAGTAGAAGCGGGAGGAAGATGATGCATTCTGCTCGGATGTGTTAAACTTGAGCCAAGAGCAGGCAGCTGGAGCTGGGGGCATGTTGTTTAATGAGAGATTGGAAATTCCTCGCAGAGAGGGGACAGTGAAATCTGTGGTAGAGATTAACGTTACAAAGGGAAATTAACGTGCTTCAGCCATTGGCATAATTTCAAGAAGACAGATTGGAAAGCTGCCTCCCTATGGCTACTTACATTGCTATTATGTCTTTATATTACATTTTAGGGGTCATAATGAGTGCCCATTTTCTAATTGGTTACTATTCTATTAAATAGGGTAGAAATAGATAGATATAGATATGGATGGATATTTGAAGGTTTTATATATGTCATATATATATATATCTTATATATATGTAACTTAAAAATGTCCAATATGCATATTAGGGAGGCAATGATGGACTTCTAAAGGCCACTTATATTTATATTTATTTTTACTTATATATAATGTTAATATTTATATCTATATGTATGTGTATACTTTTATGTAACATTTTTTTCTTTAACTTCATGCAAGAAAAGATTTCTCCCTCCTGTGTGTGTGAAGAGAAAATAAAAGCAGCTTTGTCTGCAAGGCCAGGGGATTAAAGAGGTTGGGAAGGAAGAGTTAGGGAAGAGAGAGAATAAGGAGACTTGTTTCCAAAGTCCGTGCAAGAAGGTGGTGGGGAGGGGAGAACGGGGTGGCGCTCAGCAGAATTTAAGAGGATAGAGGACTAAAAAGAAATGGTTGGATTTGACCTATACGAGGTCTTCGGGGACTTCAGTATTTGTGAGGGTAGGCACTCTGTTTTGGAAGGCTGAGGTATAAATGGGGGGAAGGCTATGAAGTCCCACCTTCATAGGTTAGCCTTCTCTCAAGAAATCTGGAGGCAAAGGGTAGGAGAGAAATAGAAGTGTCCCTTAAGACCAGAACAAGGTCCAAAGGAAGTTCTTTCAGACCAAGAAAGACCTACCTGGGCATGACTGTAAGGAGGAAAGAGCCAGTGAAGACTGAAAATTAATAAAAGGAAACTTCCTTTAAAATGGAGTGGGGAGGAGAGAAGCAGGAGCTCTCTCAGCCAACCACCTGCGGTCAATCGCAGACCCAACAGGAAGAGAAGGACCCAGCAGTGATTCTACTTGAGTGCCTACTGCACTAGCCCAGCAGGAGGAAGAAATGTTTCTCCTTCCGCAGCAATAGTCCAGCCAATGAGAGACTGTCACAACTCAGCCAAGGAAAAACCATTATGCTTCCACTTCCCAGTTTCCTCCAATGGACCTTTTGTTATTAATAGACCTCCCAGCTGCCCCCCTTTCCTCTATGAAAGGGTGTTCCTCTTCTTTGTTCTTCAGACTAGCCTCTGGTTTTGCTGGCTTTGATTGTTTCACATTGCAGTTCTCGACTATTCCAGAATAAACCCATTTTGCTGGTAAAGTAACTGGCAGTGTTGGTTTTAAGGCTAAGACCACACCTGAAGATGTGAGGACAAGCTTCATGGGAATCCCATAAGGGAAGAGGAAGGTGGCTCCAGAACACCAGGGGAAGGGTTGGCCTGCGATGAATGAAGGAGAGGAAACAGGCATGCAAACAGGAAAGAATGAACAGAAGAAACATTTTGAGGTACACAGGAGGCAGGGAGTGACGTTATCAGCTGAGTGAGAGAAAGGAGGTCCAGCTGAGGTTTGAAGGAAAGCAGAGGAAATCGCCACTGGGAGAAGAGATCACCTGTTGGGAGACCTGTCCCTCCTGGATCGTGTTGAGTCTTCAGTCCTGGGCTCTGCTGTGC